TTTCTTTCTTTCTTTCTTTCTTTCTTTCTTTCTTTCTTTCTTTCTTTTTCTCTCTTTCTCTCTCCCTCTCCCTCCCTTCCTCCCTCCTTTCCTTTCTTTTATTTCTCATTCTCCTTCCTGGTGGCACAGTGGCTAGAATGCAGTAGTCCTTCCCTCCCTCCCTCCCTTTCTTCTTCTCTTTCTCATTCTCATTCCTAGTGGTGCAGTGGTTAGAATGCAACATTGCAGGCTGACTCTGTCCACAGCCTAGAGTTCAATTCCTAATGGCTCAAGGTTAACTCAGCCTTCCAAACTTCCAAGGTCAGTAAAATGAGGACCCAGATTGTTGGGCACAAGAGACTGACTCTGTAAACTGCTTAGAGAGGGCTGGAAAGCACTGTGAAGTGATATATAGGTCTAAGCACTGTTGCTATTGTTAAAATATTGGACTACCTGATATAGGATTGTAGGGTTAATGTCCTTTATAAAATAATAAGCATAACATTTATCTGCATGGCCTTCGTATTTGAAAATGATCGAGGGCAATCAAACCATATCTTGGGGTATCATAGAAAGGACACCCGATGGGAACATGGGTGAGAGTTTCTACCACAACATCAAAGAATGGGCCTCTGTGGAAATAGGTCGTTTGCAAAACTGAGTTTGTCGGGAGGAGAGAAAACCTGGAAACTGGCTTGCAATATGGAAAATATCCACCTTCCAAGTGGCAACTACAAGATTGTCTAAATTTGACAATGCAGAGGCCTGTATATTTAAATATATATCCATAACCTTCTTAACAAAGCCAGTTCCCCAGGCATTTTCTTATGTGCCAGTAGAAAGGCAAATCATAACGAGAAAATGAGCTGGACCCTCTAACAGTTTACAAGAAGTTTCGCTTCAACTCATTTGTTTCTGGACTCTCTTTTCTGGTCTCCATTAGTTCATGGCAATGTGAGCTGGGGAGCTAGTTATACACCACCCTTAAGTTAGAAGAAAGAGAGGTTTGGGGACCCTGGTGGGATATCCCAAATGATCTCATTGTCTGCGATCCCTGATGAGGTCATTGGTGTTTTACTTTCTCCGTTCTTTCTCTGGGGAGGGCGCCAGCAATCCTGTCAGCAGTTTCACCAGCTGGGAATACTTCTTAGTCTAGAGAGAATCACGAAAGATCGTAATATCTCAAATGGAGGTAGTCCAAATGTTTAGGGATTCTTATTCTTGTTATCCACAAGAGTAGGGATTCTAGTGGGTTGCCACAAAGAGGAAGGGGTCAAGCTATTCTCCAAAGCCCCCGAAGGCTGGACAAGAAGCTATGGATGGAAACCAATCAAGGAGAGAAGCAACCTAGATCTAAAGGGAACTTTCCTGACAGTGAGAACAATCAACCATTGAAAAGAGTTGCCTTCAGAAGTTGTGGCTGCTCAACAGGGATGGGATGCCGGGGGTTCGCAGAGGTTCGGGAGAGCCCCTAAGCTAAGATTCTGTGCAGTTCAGAGAACCCCCAAATTCCACTCCTGGCTGGTCCCACCCACCCTGCCCCTCCCAGGAGACCCCACGTAGCCTGTTTTGGATGCAGGTAAGTGCAGGGGGTGCAAGGAGGCTTGGGGGAGGCCAAAAAACGGGCCTCCCGGAAGTTCAGGAAGACTGGAAAAGCAGCCTTATCTGGCTTCCAGAGAGCCCCTGGAGCCCAGGGAGGGCAAACCCCCCCGCCATGGTGCAGGAGGCCAACTAGGCCACACCCACCATGGCCACATCCACCCAGCAACCAAGCAGAGAACCCATTGATAAAAAATTTGAAGCCCACCCCTGGTGCTCCAACACTGGAGGTTTTCAAGAAGAGATTGGACAGCCACTTGTCTGAAATGGTGCAGGCTTTCCTGCCTGAGCAGAAGGTTGCACTTGATGACCTCCATGACCCCTTCCAACTCTGTTATTCTGGTGCACAGGAGTCACCCACAGTCACCAAAAGCCACAGAACATCTGAGCCCCAAATGAAGAAATAGATTTGCAAAAGCAGATTCACGTTGAATAGGCTCATTCATCTTGAGAGGTGTGGATGCAAAGGCAGAATTATCCCAACTGGAAAGCAGCTTTTGTGCAATTTATGGTAGCAATCACATGTCTGATCCAGCACTCTAAACTGCTCCGTTTACTTAATACTGAGCAAACCTCCTCGTCCTCCTCTTCCTCCTCTTCTTCTTAAATGTCATTATATCTAATTTAAGACAACCTATTACGATGCAATTTTCTTTCCATGGATAGGTGAAACGGCCTTCCAATAGAACAAACACCTGATCCTTATGAAACCTTATCCTTTTAGATTTCATGAACTATTTTATGATATTATGTTGGCAAGAGTCTGATCTTTCCTTTAAGTTTGTGCTTACTTTTAGTCGCTTGAATATCTGTGTATTTTAATTTCTAGGGATAAGTTTGTCTATGACTCATTTAAAAAAAATAGAAAGTCAAAAATCTAGAGACCACAAAATTGCATTTGTTGGTTCACTTAGCAACTCTTTTATCTCTACAGAGGATGTTTTTCTACTCGAAACAGAGAATCCGAGAACAACCCTTATATATGGCATTTTCACCACTTCCAGGTAAATCCTTCATACCTATTTTAATAAAGAAAAGCTCAAAATAAGATTTTCATGGGTGTGGAAGACATGGCTATACGGTGATGTGATTCCTACCAGATTTCCCTAAAAATAAGACCCTGTCTTATATATATTTTTGCCACCAAAAAAGACACCAGGTCTTATTTTCAGGGGATGTCATCCACTGACTAACCTCACCTGCATGCGTCATCCCCGGCCTCCTTTTCGCTGTCAGAGGCTTTCAGGAACTTCTTCTTCTGTAGCTGGCAAGGCTTTCCTGAAGGCCTTGCATCCCATAACTGAGCTCTGGATCGATCCAGAGCTTTGTTATCAGCTACAGAGGCCTTCAGGAAAGCCTTGCCAGCCTTGCCGGCTGTAGAAAAAATGGGCTGGCAAGGCAGGTGTTGGGGTGTGCCAGGCCTGGCTACAACTGTCCAAAGATAAGTAGTAGGGCAGCTCCACACATACACCATCCTCACCCTAGCTTAATTTTTACCTGTCCATTCTGGAGTGGGTAGGATCTTAATTAGGGCTTATTTTGGGGGTAGGGCTTATATTGGGCTCATGTGTAAAAGTTAAGCTAGGACTTACTTTCAGGGTAGGTTGTATTTTCAGGGAAACAGGTTATTAAGATGTATCTCTAGATACGTTGTATAGTGTCCTACAGAACGTTTTTAGATGTTCTTCGACCTGATGTTCTTAACTCTATAGAATGTTCTCATGAAGCTATTTAAGTATAATATTAAAGGCAACTCTTTGCAGTATTGCCAGAAATTAAATTTCCATCCGGTGCCATGATCATTCAGCAGTGATTATTTTATGTATAATAACATTTGCATCTCCTCATCAAAGAAGATGTTACCAAAATCTGTAAGATACTGATTTGTATTTCTTGCAGCTGTAGAGCAAAAAAATAATAATAATGGTTAGCATTGTAATGTTTACTCTTCCTGGAGTTTTCACACTTGGAAGTTATATGCAAACAACTTCATTTTTACTAATTTCTGGGACGCGCTTAGCAAGTAGACAAATCCACATAAAGTGTGCATGTTAATGAGCCATGCACACAAAACCACATGACGTAAAGAAGGGGGGGAACTTAAGAAAATGTGGGTACACTCTTAGAAACACTTCATACAAACATGTGCTTTGAATCTGATATGGATTGGAGTAACGCTTATGAAAAGACTGGAAATCTTGGGGAAAGTTTTGCAAGGACATTGTTCAAAGAGAGACTAATGATCTTTAATATTGAAAGGAGGCACAGCCAAAAGAAAGGGGGGGGGGAGAGAAAAACACACATAAGAAAAAAAATTAATAGTCCCTATCCTGAATTCTTTCAGGTTCTTCCTTAAAATATTTATTGTATCTTTCTTCTGGCTGTGCAAATAATATTAAAGCAATGCATTATGTGTTTCTAAAAAAAACTATGACATTTCTTTCTGAAAAGATATACTGCATGAGTCCATTTATTATTGCTTACTATTTGTGTCACTTTAAAAATTCTGGTTGAATTTGGAAAAAATATATTTCCGGATTACCTTGGGGTACTTTTCTGTACTATTTATTACTGTAGCTATTTTGTTACACAGGGGAAAAAATAAAACTCTCTTCAAATATTAAGGGAAAAATATAATAACCATGTTGACAGCTTTTTCTAAAATAATAATAATAATAATCAACCATCTGCTTCCACCTCATTGCTATTTTTCAAGGATATCCATAGCAATTTTTCTAATGCATACCAGAATTATTACTATTATTATTTTCCTTCTCCTTCTCCTTCATCTCCTCCTCCTCCCCCTCCTCCTCCTCCTCCTCCTCCTCTTTCTTTTCCTCTGTGCCTATCTTTTCTCTCCTCAAACCAAAAGTCAATTTTTTGGGGGGGTTTGCTCCCAAAATTTGGTGGCATCGCTGCCCTAAAACTTCAATCTTTCTTTTCTTTGTTGTATTCAGGCCTCCTTGTTCTGAATATGCCTCTTTCTCTTGTTGTGTCTTTTGCCATAATGAATGGATAACATGCATTTTTCCAAATTATTATTATTATTATTATTATTATTATTATTATTATTATTATTAT